TGAATGAGTCTATAACTGCAAAGATATGTTTGTAGTCCTTGTGCGTCGAATCCAGAGGTCCCAAAAAGTCAATATGATAAGTGTGTAATGGAACGTCTTCTTTCTATAGTGGGTGTAGTAGCCCTTCCTGCTTGCCTCTCTTTCGGTTCATCAAAATACATGGAATACAGCACTCAATATATTTCTTGATCTTCTCTTCGACATGTGGTATGTAGAATTCTCTGCAAATCAAATCCTTCGTCTTCTTTGCTGCAAAATGCCCTCTATCATGTGTACGGCTAATAATTTTTTTCTGCATGTCATTGGATACCACCCTAAGTTCTTTGTCCAGTACAACTCTATATAGCATACCAGACTTAAGGAAATAATCGTCGTAAGTCTTCTGTTCGTCGTTCAGAATTTGTTTAATAGCCTTAATCTTTTCATCTTTCGACTGTGCATCTTTTAAAGCGATGATTATGCTGTCTTCAGTTATCATCATGATTGGGTAGCGGCTGAGAGCATCGACATGCTTCATTCTAGTTCCTGACCGATGTTCCACAGCATAATCGTACTCCTGCATAAACAAAATCCATCGCGCCACCCTAGTGCATAAGTTTTCTTTCTTCAGCGTCTTTGTAAAAGCATTGCAGTCTGTTATCAGTTTAAAATGAATGCCTAAGAGATATACTCTAAACTTGGTTAACGCTTCTATTACTGCCAAAATCTCTAATTCATAACTGCTATATTTCCGCTGTGCATCAGTAGTCTTTTTGGACATTTAATAGACCGGGTGTAGCTGTCCGTCGTCTGGCGATTTCTGTAATAGAACTGCACCAAAACCATCAATTGATGCATCTGTGTGTACTTCAGTATCGTAAGTCTGATTATATATATTCAATACTGGGTTCTCTGTCAGCAGTTTTTTTAAGATATTAACGGCATTCTCTTCATATACATCAAATTTAAATTTTGTCTTGTTCTTTGTCAACTCCGTTAAAGGTCTAGCAATGCCTGCATAATTCGGGATAAATTATGTCAGTCAGTCCCAAGAAACTCTCTACTTGTTTGAGTGATTGTGGCATTTTAAACTTTGATACAGGATTTTTTTTTTTTTTTGTTGAAGGATAAATCTTACTGTTTTCATTTATATGACCAAGAAATTGAATACGGGTCTTCAGAAAGTGGCATTTTTTTATGTTCAATTCTAGGCCAAAATCTTTGCATGTTTCGATAACTTCCTTTAGATTCTTCCTAGCTTCTTGTTCTGTCTGTGCTGGAATAATCACGTCATCAACGTAGGGTAAAGCAATACCTTTGCTGGACAGATGTCGAAATATCGCATTGATGTGCCGCTGAAAAACTCCTGGTGAATTTGAAAATCCAAACGGAACTCAAAAATTGATATTGGCCTCGCTTAATTAAAAATTCAGAAACCGGCACATGAAAAAACGCATTCTTAAGATCAATCGTGCTGAATATCTTGGCCTCTTGCAATCTGTCTAGTTGATCTTCAATAAGCGGCAAAGGAAAATGATATTTGACAGTTACCTTATTGATCCTTCTGTAATCAACACAAACCCTTGCCGAACCGTCTCGCTTTTTAACAAGGACTATTGGACTTGTAAACTCCGATGTAGATTCTTCGATAATGTCATTTTTAAGCCACTCTTCAATCAGTTAATCGACGATACGAGTTTACGTAAACGCTATTCTGCGCGGACGCGAAAATATAGGAGACTCATCTTTTAATACGATACGCATCTCTACATTTGTTGTTTTTGATTTGTTTGGCACATAATTGTCTATTAGTTCACGTACTTCTTTTTTGGCAGATTCACTTGCTGCTTCATTAATGTCAATTACGTCATTGTCAATTTCCGCACAAATTTTCATTATATTTAGATCGTCACCGCTCGACATATTGCGCACTTGAAGTCCGTTTCTATTGAAAACAATTTCCGCCAGTAAACACAGTTCTTCTCAAATAATTAGCTTCACGTTGATAAGTCTGGTTGGTACTACATAAAAATCTAACAAGAATTTACCATTATCAATTAGAATTGTGTGCCTAAAATGTCCAACTGGTTTTATCCTATTAGAGTAGTCACATCCAATAAGAACAATTGTGCAGCTTTCCAATTTCGGCTTGCCAATCTCGCTATAAAAGTCTTCCCGCATAACGTTGAACTTGCTTCCCGTATCAAAAAGCGCGATACACTTTTTATTTTCAAATGCGACTTCTTTGTGTGTGATATCGGGTTTTGGCTGCAATCTACGCGTATTTACTGACGTTTGTAGCATATTGGATATTACCAAACCTTCGCGGAAGGCTGAGCAGGTGATGATTCGTCTCCCGTCCGGGCACGTGCTTGTTCCGGCTTCCGTCTCATCGGCAAGAAATGGGGGGGTTTTTTATTTCCCAGAACGGACGGGACACAGCTCTACTCCAACAATCATAATACTGACACGTAACGTTCATTAAAATTTCACGTGCAAGCGAAGTATCGACACAAATATGTACAAGAGCAAATACACCTAACTACGCACACGGACACATACACACATACAAGTCGTGCCACGGTGTTGTTGTGACCACTCATGCCCACCCTACCATGATCACCGCTCCCGGTTCATCCGGTGATCCCATAAAGAAGGCTCTTACAGCCTCCTATCCAACCCCATTACCCTCATTTGCCCAGCATGGTCCCCGCATATAGAACTCTAGCCCCGATTCATGTTAAATCCTATATTTCATATTGAGCAATAGCACATGCATCGCAACTAGTAAACTAATAAATGATTAACTCTTAATAATACAATTTAGATTGAAATTTAGCTTACAAATTGAAAGAAGGGTAAGGTACATATCTCTAGCTTTTATGTTAGGCAAATAGATAAATAAATAAATATGCAAAAGGGAATGTAAAAACTGTGCGCAGCGATCGTTATGGCAGGTCAGTTATTCAAGTGCATTAGCGAAAGCAACCGCAAGTAGAAAGCATAAAAGAACGTCAGAGCGACCAGCCTCGCATCTTCCCTTTTGTGCCTTGTTCTTAAGAGGGCTGTTTCTTATGCGCGGCGTAAGCGCTTATGGTTGCCAGCAGGGCATAAGGGAGAGCGCACAGCCTCTCTTAAGCGAAGAAGCCCCTGACTACGTGAGGTTTTTTTCTTTTTCGGTTATGCAATAAATAGTTGCTAATAACAAACAAACTCCAATATTTTATCTTTATGTTTTGGGATCACTTACGGCCTTCCTTTGATTTGTTTTAATAAATGCGTTGAAACAGCGATGAAAGCTCTTCCATGGACTGCGGCAACGTTCCTAAAACGAAAGCTGGAGAAATAATTTTACAAAAAAAACTCACGCTCTCCTCTGCCGTTTAACCGTTGTTCACTTTCGCCTTGTCACACATTCCACTTGCTATTTCTTCCGAACAGAATTTAAAAACACAACCAAAAGAAATTTACTAAGCTAAGTACACTAATGACTCAATAGCATAAAAATAGGAATCAGCGGTTACACTGATGGATAAAAAAAAACGACAGTCGTTGCCGCCGGCTTCACATCTGGGCACTCCTCGGCACTTCGTATGGGGAAAAGAAAATAGGTCTAGGCCCAGATCTATATTTCGGGTAGAAATTGGTTGACCGTTTACATCGCTTTAATAATTTCCGCAGAATTGGACGGCCTCCAATATATCGCGGGTCCGTGACACATAAGTGGCTCGCGCCCGCAAAGCGACTGATGAGCAGATCTTTTACGCCTCCCGCTTTGTGCTCTTCGGCCTAGCGCTGGGAATTTTTGGTACGGAGCTGTAGTTGGGCGAGGAGCATAAGTCCCTTGTCGCGGGCGGAGGCCCTAATATCGGGGAAATTGTTGTTGCGAGCTTTCGTATTGGGGTTCAGACAGGTACCCAAACGATTGCCCGAAGTTTAAGCAGGTACTAACCGCCAATCTGAAAAATTAATTTCCTACAATAAAAAAAAGCACTACCCTACGCCACGAGTGTATGTGGTGTATATTAGCGACGCTGAAATACATACCAATTGAAATTGGCACTTAACACACTTTTACTTTATAAACGCACAATAATTTTTCCTTTTTGCTGTATTCAGCTGTTAAGATCTTTTCCCGGTTTTTATTCCTTTTTTTTCTTTATACTTGGACTGGACAACAATAGCACGTCTGTCTTCGCCAACAGTTTTTCTTCCAAGAGACCGAGGCTAGCTCTGCACAGTCTGAGACCCCCAGTACAGCGTTAAAATTGAGAATCCTCCATTTTCGAATTGACCCCGTAATTATTTTACATGTTTCAACTCAAAAAAACAGAAAAAAAACCGCTCTCCTTCGTTTACCTTTTAACTTGAATTGAGGCGGCAAAGTTGAGTAACATGGGGAGACCAATATCCCTTCTTGGTACTTTTCTAAATGTTCCCTTTTGTGGATCCCAGTATTTATACCTTTTTTTCTTTTTATACTTTACTCTTTCAATGGTAAACTAAAAAAACTTTCTTCTTCAATAGTAACCACTTTTAGTTCATTCCCGGAGGAGCGCCCAAAATGTGGGGTTTTTATTTACTTTAGGTTTAATAATTAATTTGTATTTAATGTTTGATAAATTTAGGATAAATGTATTCTTTAATTCTTCGTTTAATTCTTCTTTTCTGCGGCCGTCGTCGTTTTTACGTCTTTTTGGTACTGTCCTCGTTTTATTCCTCTGCTTGTCTCTTCCTTGCTCGTCGTCATCTTCGTGATGGCATAATCGTTGTTCGTCGTTCTCTTTAGTGATGGGATCATCGCTGCTGGTCGTCTTCTTCGTGATGGCATAATCGTTGTTCGTCGTTCTTTTTAGTGATGGGATCATCGTTGCTCGTCGTCTAGGGATCTTATCTTCATTTGGTATTTTGTGTGGTACACCAACCCACATATGTATATATATACAATAACTAAAAATGGTTATAGCTACGCCACGGGGTACCCAGCACTTCATAATTTTTATATTATTCCTTATTTTCAGATTAACCTACGTTTAATTCTCGTTAGTGGCAAAACCAAAGAATTTATATTTAATCCATCAGATTCTGCTGGTGATATTGCACAAACAGTATTCGATAATTGGCCAACTGGTGAGTATATTCTTTTATAGGAGTATCTGCACTGTTAATATTTATGAAAAAAAAAACTAGATTACTTTAACCGGTCCAATTTAGCCCATGGTATTAACCCATCAAGAATAAAAAACTATTTTTTTAAATGCACTGACAATAAATGCTCAATACTTTAAATATTTCTTAAAATGAAAATTGCTGTCTTTTAAACAAACTATCTCAGGAGCAGGGTTACATCGGCAGTGTTCTATGATTTCTTTGACAACTAAAATCGTGACGTCTAATTTCAATACTCGTTCTCAACACAACACATGTTCACAAGCTTTAAACATTGTTAATATTACTTATACTATCCGATTACACTAGTCAAAATTAACTAAAATTCCGATTTCCTTGAAATTTACAAAATTTTCTATCATATGTACATACATACACTACTGGTCAAAATAATAAGTACGTACAGTGGTGCTCATACACTTAAGCCACAAGAACTACACCAAGAATTTAAGCGAAAATCAAGAAAAGTTTTTATTTTACAGCTTCCATTTTTTGTCTCAAATTAGTTCTATATGTTCTATATTTATGTTTTAATACAACAATAAACAAGTTATGCAAATAGCGAAATAATTAAAAAATTTGAAACCATGTCCAAAATGTCCTGCTCATATACTTAAGCCACCTGGAAAAAAATGGTTAAAAAAGATACAATTTGCTCAGTATTCCTAGTATTTTTAATAAAATTACTTTAATATAGAGTAGGATGATCTTTCTGCTTAAGAAAAGTGGAGCAACGCTTTGGTATTGAATCTGCAGGATTCAGGATGAGGGGTGATTTTCTTTCATTCTTCCTGTAAAATTCGGCACAAATCCTTTTAATTGCTGTTTTTTTTTTTGGGCAGCGACTTGGTTTAGCATTCCACAAGTTGTCTATATGGTTCAGGTATATGGACTCTGCGGAGGCCATTGCAAAACATTGATTCCCTCTTGGTTAAGCCACGACTTGAATATCCTGCAGCAATGTATCGGGTCGTTGTCCTCTTAAAATATCCAGGCAACTGGCAAATTATCTTGCCGCAAACGCATTTCTATACAAGTATAGAATCGCCAAAGTCATACAAAATAAGTGTGGCTATACCGTATACTAACATACGATTACTAATAAGAAAATAATTTCTTGTTATTTTGTTTATGTTTTTAGATTTCATCGACCACAAACTATATATGTGAAATGAAAAATGAATTTGTTAGATATTTTTATAATCTTTTGTAGGTTAGAAAACTAAAAAGTGAATTGCATTTTTTCTCTACATTTATTAAAAAAGTTTTACGAGCGGGAAAGAAAGCTTATAAGCGTGTACTTATTATTTTCACCACTAGTGTATGTACATATACAATTTTTGACTTTTGCCACCTCATTTCATCTGTGCGACGCCTAATTAACGGTCCTAAGCCAGCGATCGGATGTGTGCAGACCATTGCCCTATACGAATTCAAGGGCAGGCACGGTGCATGGATAATGTCTCTAGGGACGTTTCCGTGTCTTCCGCGGATTTTACTGAGCAAGGAGCCGTGAGCTTCGACGTAACCGTCTTCTTAAACTGTACACGGCTAATATTCCGGGGGTAAACTGAATGTACTCATGATCCGAGAAGGAGAGTCTGTCGAGGACACCAGCTATATAGCAAAGTACTCTTTCCCGTTATAAGTGTTGGATCTTGTACGTTTGATCAGATAGCACCTACGAAGGTATTTTTATCAAGCACGTTTGCTAATTCTGGATTAGACTTCAGGCTCCTGGACCAAGCTTGCCTCGATGATGGTATCCAGATCGATGTTCTTCTCTACCTCGCCTGCTTGTAGGGTATGCGCGTCTTTATCCTTGGGAGTGGCGCTTCTTGAGGCACCGGTATATAATACCCATGCCCCACGCCATCTGGGGTACAACAGATCCTCCACCTTCTTGTTGACCTGGAGTATCACACACTGGCCCCCTCTCGTTGGGTAGTGGTAGTCCCTGTGTGCAAAACCTTCCAGTTCGTCGTTGGCACCGTTTGATTCTGACGCTGTAGAAGCTTCAGTGCACGGTCACTTTAGATTGCGATGGGTAAGAGTTCTTGCGCCTTTGGTATGGACGGAATTTGCTCCTTGTCCTTCAACTTCAGCTTGGGCCCTTCCGACATCGCTTCCGATTGGCAAATCGTACGCGTCAGCCACCTGAGTGTCGGGTCATCGTTGCACTTCAGGATTTTGCCCTCTTTAGCCACCTAGCGTCATCGAAATGGGGCAAGGGTGCTGTGGGTTCTTTCTCCATCCGTGCAAAGAGGGATCCGACGAGAGGCGCGTTCACCAACTTCAACTGTGCCGCCGTCATCTTTGAGTTTTCATCGCTTCGGTCAATGAGTGTGACGATAAGTTTACTCTTGGACACTTCGCTGACATTTGCCTTTGTATTGGGCAAACGCATGGGCCTGTCTTGGTCATGTCTGGCTTGTCGGGAGATTGAGGCCGAAATGCGTACATTTATGAGACAGACTCGAACTGGGTTTCTGGATGTCCGGAAACAATTTGTGGCTCTCAACGAGAATTTTCTTGCCCTTGAATCACAGTTTCTTGGGCTCAAACTCTTGAGCGAATCGCCTAGACGGAAAATTCCGCATAATGATACCAATCTCTTGCAACCTAATCCGATTGGTACGCCTGCCTCCCACCTTCATCCATCGGAAGCATTTCCGTGTAGTCATGCCACGCCGTTGTCTGTAAATCCGCCAACGGTGGCTCCGGCGTTCTTTACACCGAGCAATGTGCTTCCTTCCGCCTAGTGCGGGTGTGCTGGTTGCTGACGACGTCTTGCCAATTCCTGCTCCAATTCCTGCTCCAATTCCTACTCCAATTCCTGCTACAGCCATTGCTGCCATTGCTGTCAATATGGCCTGAGCATACAATTGTGCATGAGTTCCTTCTCAAAGATTCGAACTCGAATCCAAGAATTACCGAACATGCTCCAAAAAATTGATGTACTATTTTTCCATGCACTATCAGAACGTTCGCAGTTTGCTGGGAAAATTGCGTCAAATTCATACTAATAGCGCGTCCTTTGATTTCGATGCCATCGCGTTTACCGAAACCTGGCTTAACTCCTCTGTCAATGATCATGAATTTTTCATTGATAGTTACACTATTTATAGAATGGACCGCCCATCTTTTGCAGGTGGGGTTCTGATTGCAGTTAAATCTGTTTTCTCATCTGAGTTATTCCCATTCAATAACATTCATGGAATTGAATTTAATGCAGTCAAAGTTCGTGTTGGCTCCGCAATTTTTTTATTTAACCTGCTCTTACATTCCTCCCAGGTCTGATGCTGAGCTTTACTTACACCACCTCTCAGCAATTAATACTGTTGTTTCTGCATTAGGGTGCAATGATCGAATTATTGTCATGGGGGACTTTAACCACCCATTTCTTTCTTGGCTGCCTTGTGATGACGCTAACCTGTTGTTTCCCAATTGCCATAATGACTTTATCAATGGGCCAACGGATATTTCCCTTGTCCAAATTAATGCCGTTAAAAACGTTAGGGACAGACTTCTTGGCCTCGTTTTTGTTAACGATGGTTCTCTTGCTACGGTATCTAGAGCAAGCCCAATATCTCTCCCTGAAGATCCTTACCATCCAATTTTGTTGATATCACTGGAGTGTACACAATCTGGAGGTGCTGACAGTTCCATGGCTCCTTGTCACATAAAGTGCTTTCGCAAAACAAACTTTATCGATTTAGATCTACATCTTTCGCGTGTTGATTGGTCGTTTCTTTATTCATTACCGAACATAGATGCAACTGTTAACTCGTTTTATAGTTCTATTTACTCCGCCCTTAATACGTTTGTTCCAGATATCACTGTACCTGTATCGTCCAAGCCTCCCTGGTTCTCCAAGTATTTGTCATACTTAAAAAATAATAAATCCCGGCTCTATAAAAAGTACCAGAAGTCGGGCTCCACGTTGGCCTTAGCTCTATACTCCTCCGCTCGCTCTCTGTTCCTTGCCGTCAATAGTCAGTGTTATAATCATAACCTTTCACAATGTAGTAGTAACTTTCGTAGTGATCCTACAAAATTATATTCGTTCGTTAACTCTAAGCGCAAGTCAAACGTTTTTCCTCCCTCCCTTCATTACCAGAACAAAACAGAAGCTTCTGCTGTTGGTATTGCAAATTTATTCGCTAACTTTTTCCAAACAACGTACTCGTCTCATATTTACAACGCATCCACTCCGTATCCGTACCAGCTACCTCAAGCTAACAGCATTTTTCTGCCCTTTTTCGAGGAAAGCGTTGTTCTGGAAGGTTTGTCATCTGTGGACATATCGTTTTCTGCGGGTCCAGATAAGGTACCAAGTTGCATCTTAAAACACTGTGCCCAGTCCCTTTGCAAACCCTTGACCTTTCTCTTCAACCTCTCCTTGGAACAGTCTTGTTCCCAGTAATTTGGAATGAGTCCAATATCATTCCGCTTCACAAAAACGGTTCAAGATCAAACATTGAAAACTATCGTGGTATCGCAAAGCTTTCCGCCATCCCGAAGCTTCTTGAGTTCCTAGTCACCCGGCAACTGCAACATCTTTGTTGCAGCTGATATCTCCGTCGCAACACGGTTTTTTCAGACATCGTTCAACATCGACTAACCTTCTTGAGTTTTCTAACCTAATCCACCGTGGTTTTCAAATTGGTTTGCAGACGGATGTAGTTTTTACGGACTTCAGCAAGGCATTCGATTCTGTGAACGATGCTCTGCTTATTCACAAGCTCTCCTTATTAGGGTTCCCAACGAATCTTCTAGATTGGATTTTGTCCTATCTCTCTAACCGTACTCAACGTGTTTTGTTTTCTAGCGTGTTGTCAAATACTGTTAATGTTACTTCAGGTGTGCCACAGGGAAGTCATCTGGGCCCGCTTCTGTTTATTTTATTTGTGAATGACCTTCCTCAAATTATAACATACTCTACTACACTAATGTATTCT